TCAAATAAATAAATAAAACCTTAAAAAAAAAAAAAAGAAAAGACAGCGGCCAGTGGGATACCAGGGTTCACATGCCTGCCCTTGGCCCAAGACATTCCGGGAAGGAGCAAGAAGGAGAGAAACATGCATTGAGCATCTACTGTATACCTGGCAGGTCCTACCATGTGAGAGACCAGACACAAAATGCCTGGCCCTGGGGCCTAGCTCATTTCAAAGGGTGGAATTTCCTTCTCTCTCTCTCTATCTCCCTTTTAAGGAGATCCTGACAGGTGGCCCAGCATGACTATGAGGAGTCCAGGCTGCAAAGTCAGACTTCAGACTGGGAGGCGGGGTGGCGGGGGTCCAGCTCTGCCACTTGCCAGGTAGGTATCCTCCGACAAATTATTTAACATCTCTGAGTTTCTCGTCTGTTAACTGAGGGCTCCAATAGTGCCAGCCTCATGGGTAGCTGAGAGGACAGTGTTTTTTGTTGTTGTTGTTTTGTTTTATTTTTTTAAAGATTTTACTTGTTTATTTGACAGAGAGAGAGAGAGCGAGAGAGGGAACACAAGCAGGGGGAGTGGAGGAGGGAGAAGCAGACCCCCCGCCGAGCAGGGAGCCCGATGCGGGGCTCGATCCCAGGACGCTGGGACCGTGACCCGAGCCGAAGGCAGACGCCCAACAACTGAGCCACTCAGGCGCCCTGAGGACAGTGTTAACGAACATAAAATATCTGGCAGGGTGCCTGGCTGGCTTAGTCAGAAGAGCATGTGACTCTTGATCTCGGGGTCATGAGTTTGAGCCCCACGTTGGGTGCAGAGATTACTTAAATAATTAAATTTTTAAAAATTTTTTAAAGATTTTTAAGGCATGATGCTACCATGGGGACATGGGGGGGAGGTGTGAGGCCCCTTAGTGAGCAGATACCCATCATCACAGATGGGGAGACCAAGACCTAGGGGAAGGGGGTACCTGCCCAGAGTCACCACATCTCAGAAGTCCTGCCAAAACAAGTGCTCTGGCTCTCTTGACTTCTTTCCCAACTTTGTACACATGGGGAAAGAGCAAGAAAACCAGGTTCAAATTCCAGCTTTGCATCATACGTATTGTGTGAACACCTCTCTGGGCTTGTTTCCTCTTCTGCAAAATGAGGAGGGGCATCCTACTTTCCGGTGTTGTTATGCAGGGGAGGTAAGGGGACCTATAAACATCCCCGCCCCCCACTCACAGAGACCTGGTTCCACGCTGGGTCCCACCCCGAGCAGGGCCCAATGCCCTACGGGTGCTCCAAAATATTCACTCTGGGAATGATGGTTAGAGGCATACGGGTACTAATGCTAAGCCTAAGACAAGCCAAATTTTATTTTATTTCAAGATTTTATTTATTTATTTACTTACTTATTTTAGAGAGAGACAACACCAGCGGGGTGAGGGGCAAAGGGAGAAGCAGACTCCCCACTGAGCAGGGAGCCCGACGCGGGGCTCGATCGCAGGACTCTGGGATCATGAGCTGAGCCAAAGGCAGACGTTTAACCGACTGAGCCACCTGGGTGCCCCAAGACAAGCCAAATTTTAGCACAGAAACATAGGGAAAGAGAAAAATCATTCACCTTGCAGAGCAACCCTTTCATAGAAGGACCACCTGTGGGGAGCCTTTTAAGCTCCTTGGATATTAACAATTCCTGAAGGGCAAAGGGTGAGGAGCCATCAGCAAAGATCAGGAAAGGCTGCAGAAAGACCAGGATCACTTTGGAAACCCAGCTGGGCACACAGCTTTTTGGTACAAGTAGGCCCAAAGGAATCCCCAGCTTTGAGACTGAAGGTCTGGGTCTCATGTCGAGGTATACAAGTGTGTGCAAATAGAGTGGACACACAAACACACCCACTCCCACCTTTTAAAACAATGCCAAAGCTCCAAAGTCTTCACTGTCAACCCGTGTTTATTCACTCATCCACCAAATATTTGTTGAGCACCTACCCTGGGCCTGACCCTAGTCTGGGAACGGGACTGTATTGGTGACCAAGAGCGACACAGTCCTTACTTTCATTGGTGATTTACACAAAAACCAAGAGTTAAAGAAAAAATACCCACCACTATAGTGAGTGTGCCAAGGGTGTGGTGTCTTATTCTAACACAATCAGTGTGTGGTTTTTCCATACCAACCACCAATTCCCCAACACCAATTGGGTGTTCAACAACTCAGTTCAATTCTGACACCAGCTCTTGGGGTTAGTGTAGATCCCACAGGCTTAAGGATCAGTCCCACGGGAACTGCCCCCACCTCAGACCACAGCTGCACAACCCAGGGGCCACCTCTACCTCCGACACACCGGCTATAAATTCAGGGGTTCCCACAACCCCCACCCTGGGTTCAATAACAGGCTAGAATGACTCACAGAACTCAGGAAAGCACTTTACTTACGTTTATCGGTTGACTATAAAGGATACAACTTGGGAACAGCCAACTGGAAGGGATGCAGAGGACAAGGTCTTGGGTCGGGGGAGGGACTAGAGGCAACATGGAGCTTCCCATGGTGCCCTCCCACCAGCACCTCCCTGTTTGCCAACTCTCCCCAAACCCCGTTGTTGAGGGATTTTTCCCAAGGTTTCACTACATAGGCATAATTGATTAAATCACTGGCCACTGGTGATTAGCTCAAACTGCAGCCCCTCTCCCCTCCCTGGAGGCTGGGTGGCGAGGGCATACCGGGGAGAACTGAGATTTCCAACCGCTCTAATTAAGGCTTGATCTTTCCAGCAAGCAGTCCCCATCCTGAAGCTATCTACGGGCCCCCGGCCATAGATAAGAAAGGATATAGTCTTACCTCTCAGGAGCTTGCAAGGGTTCTTAGGGGTCCTGTGCCAGGAACTGGGGACAAAGACCAAATAGATGAGTTTTGTAATATACCACAAGGGACCAAAACTTGGAGCTAAGAAAGCAGGTCCTGGAGCTTCTGATCCAGACTGCAGTGAATTCCCAAAACAGTGTGGTGAGATGAAATGATAAAAAGGATCTGGACAGGTAGGGCCTGGGAGGCCTGGGAACAGCGGGGGCAGGAAGAGAGGGCAAGGAAGTTTTAAGTTCCAAAAAGTTATAAATTCATTAGAAGTGACTGTGAGTATCCCATCCAGGTTTTCCTGCTCATTCCTCCTGTGATGATTGTCTCCCCAGAAGCCCCCAACCCCAGCCTGGATGCTTCCCAGGGTCAGAGGTTTTTCTTTTGTTTTTTGCTTCCTGCTTAACAATATGGATTGATAACAAAGCAAATCAATGCTTCCCATACAACCTAAACCCTCACACACCTGCCCATAAATACCTCCCCAGCAAACTGCCAGTGAGAATCCGAAATGCCACCATTAAATGTCCCTCTGGGGAATTACGAAACTCTGTCATGGGGCACTCAGAAAACAGTCATAATCTCGTTACAAATACCAGGTGCTTCACAGTTTACCAAGAGCTTTCCTCTATAGCCCGTGAATTACAGACAAGAGAAGGGAAGCTCAGAGAGGCAAAGTAACTCTGAGTCACATCTGGAAGGTCTGAGCCCGGGGCCTCTGGACACCAGGTGGGGGCTGTGGTGTTTGCTCGTGCTCAGGGAACCGGGTAAGCATGTTCTGGGGACCTGGGTCAGGCCCAGACAGGTGGAGAGAGGAAGAGCCAGGCGAGTCTCAGCAGTTGACACTCCCAAAGCAGTACCCCCCCAACCCCTCCCCCAACCCCAGGAAGGCCTGGGCACTGGCCCAGCAGGTCACACCCACTTGAGGGAGAAGGGGCGCACGAGAGAAAAGCAGGGAGCTCAGCCAGGGGCACCTGAGAGCTGAGAGCCTGCCAGGGACTGCCTTCAATTTTCCATGTTGTTCCAGCCCATTCGAGGGGAGGGGAAATGGGCTGGGCCACCCACAAGAAACCTAGCGCACAGCCCCAGAGGCCTACAGGCAGACACCACACCAGTGGGACAGGTGAGCTGGGCCCGGGGACAGGGGAGGGAGTGGGAGGCCGCTGAGGACCGCACCACCTCAGGCCTGACCCTCCCCGTGCTCCTAATGACTCTGAGCACTGCTTTCTTTCATTGCATGTCATTTCAACCCCTATTTACCAGACCCTGCCCGTGGGCTAGGCCCTGTGCTAAGTGTTAGCATAACTTGACAAAGGCCCCTGCGCCCTTGGAGTTTACCCTGTAGTTGGGGAGACAGCAATAAACAAGAACGTAAGTGAGTAAATTATCTTGTACGTTAGGACAAAAAGTAGAGCAGAGTGAGGGGGATTGGGAAGGCCAGGGGAGGGGCGCTTGGGGTTTTAAAGAGGGCAGTCAGGTGGGCCTCACTGAGAAGGTGATACTGAGCAGCAAAGACTTGAAGGAGGTAATGAGGGAGCCAAGAGGACACCCGGAGAAAGAGTGTTCCAGAAGAAGAGTTTGAGTCAGAGGATACAACCTGGCAGAGGTGGGGTGCGGGGGAGGCCTGGCACGTCCAGGCACAGCAAACAGGCAGCAGCAGTTGGGAGGAGTGGGGCAGGAAGACAGGAGGCCAGCTAGGTGGCCTTGCAGGGGTCCAGGGGGCAGACAAGAGGGGCTCCTTAAACGTGCCAGGCCCCTTGTCAGCACCCCCATGGCCCTGCCACCCACTCAGGGGGTATCGGTTTGCAAGCCTGCATAGAAACCCCACTCGCCGCTTGCAGCTACACGACCTTACGGAGTCTCCTTCCTTCCGTTCCTGGGCTCCCCGTAAAACGGGTAGTAAGAGTAGATATCTGTAGGGCCATGGTGGCTGCCGGCGGGAAAGACAGACCGCGTGCCTCCTGACAGCTAGATGCGTGGGATCCAAGGGACAGTGGCGCTGGCCACCCAGGCACTTGGGAGGGGCGCGTTCGAGCAAATAAGGCATTGCTCCTATTGTCTACTCTAACAGCACCCAGTGGGGCAGCAAAAGGGCACTCTGTTCCTGGGGTGGGGGGTGCTGCCGTCAGGAAGGCTCCTTGGAGGAGGTGTCCCTGGAGGCTGGGTCTCACTAGGAATGCGGGGGGAAAGCCGCAGAGGCAAAAGGGAGGAGGAGAGGGAGGGGAGGCCCCAACCTGGTGCTGGAGTAGCTGATCCAGGGCAAGGGGCAGGTGGGCAGGAGGCGGTGGATGGCGGGAAGCATGAACTCTCTCCCACAAACAGTGGGCGCCAAGGGGCAAATTCCAAGCCAGGGTGGGGACACACTGTGACTGCAGTTGAAGGGCTCGGCCTGGCAGCCAGGAGAACAGACAAGTGAGACACTGAGGCCCAGTGAGAGATGGTGGTGGCCCGGGAACAGACATGGGGATGGAACAAATGGATTTGAGATACTCAACAAATAGACGAGGCAACCTGGTAGTTGCCTTGCTGTGGGGGAACAGGGGCTTCTGAGAGTCTGAGGGTTTGCTGAAGGACACGGGTCCACTCTGGCTGCAGGGGGGCACACAGGGGTCCCAGGGGGAACACTGCCCAGGCCAGAAGCAAGCTTCCTCCCCCCAGCTCTGCGGTACCCCTCAAGGCTCACAGAAATGGGCTGAATGAGCCCAGGACTCAGGGGACCAGGTGAATGGGACCACAGGTCCCTACAGTGAGGCCCCCTGGCAGGGCCGTAACATGAGAGAGCATGTGCTCTGTGGTCAGACCCTGTCCACCTCCTGGCCGCCTCCAGCTGTGTGGCTAGAGGCCAGACATGCTCAAGGTCACCAGATATTTTTGCATGTGTGACTTGAATTGACTTTGTGAGAATTTCCCCAGGTAACCCTTGTAAGACAGGTTGCAGTGGACAGAGCTCGAGCCCTGTGATTGGATCCCATCCAAATCTCGACAAACAGGTACTGCGCTACCATTTACCGAGCAATTCCTGCATTCGTGGCCAGCCGAGTGCCCGCAGAGAAGGGGGTGGGGGTGCAGGGGCACACAAATCTTTCAGGGGAGCTGCTTTCCTACCCGGAGCAGCCCCTGGAAGATGCTCAGCTCTGGGCACTTCCTCCTGCACACAGGTTCTTAGCACCACCCAAGGCTCCGAGCAGCTAGGCCAGAAGTACCTCTCCTCCGGCAGCAGGCAGCTCCAGGCTAGGATGGGCAGCCCAGTGCACCGAGTGTCCCTGGGGGATACCTGGAGCAGGCAAGTGCACCCCAACATAGAGAGTGAGAGGTACATACAGTCCTTCAATGTGGAAAGGCTCATCAACATCCTGGATGGAGGTGCCCAGAACACTGCACTCCGGAGGAAAGTTGGTAAGAGGAAGCTGGGGAATGGAGCCTCTGCTTTGTGCCCACATGCCTTTCTTGGAAGAAGAGTCTTTCACTAGCAGTCCCACCTCAAATGACAAATCTTGCTTTCAAAATTCCACTGTTAGAGATTCATTCCTTTGGACTGTAAGGACATCTTTAACAAGTCCGTATTTCCTGAGCCCATCTGAAGGATAGAAGAGTCTTAGGCAGCAGAAGACCTAGATGCTGGTCCTTATTCTGCCACTGCATGACTTTGTAACCTTGAGCAAGTCACCTTCCCACCTCAGGTGCTCAGTCATTACATCTGTAAAATGACAATAATGTCTGACTTCCTTTCCACGTCCACAAGGCAAGAGGGTAAAAAGATCTGAAGGTGCCAGGAGCCTCACTCCAGTCTCTAAGCTCTCTGTTCTCTGTCTTTGGAAGAGAGCATCATCCACAGTGACCCGGAGTTTAGCCTCAAGGATAATTATTTCATGACCCAGAATGAACGTTATGTGGCCGCCGTTCGGAAGAAATTTCACCTCCAGATAACAGCAAAGCGCCTGGGCTGGTCGGAAAACAGTCCTGAATTCTATTACGTTTACAGGTACTCACTCCCAGGGCAGCCCCACCAGAGAGGAATTCACCTGGGATCACTTGGAAAGCCTTAACGCCATGAGCGATTTTCCCCACCTTTAAAGGCAATAGCTGTTGGGAAGCCAGGATGGCAGATGCCCCTTCCCTCCTGCACCCTGCCAGACTGACGGTACCGGGGTCCCCGTCTCTGGTGGGCTACTCAAGCACTGTGTCCTTTCCCCCCCAGAGCCCTTTCTGGAGAACTGGCCTTAAATCTACACCACGTGTTCCTGAAATCCCTCAGGAGCCTGGGCTCAGAGGAGCAGATTGCCAAATGGACCCCACTCTGCAATGAATTCCAGATCATTGCATCATATGCCCAGACAGAATTGGGACACGGTGAGCCAGGGTTTCTGCGTGCACGGTTCCAGAAAGCCCACTCACAGCCGAGGAGTCAGAGATTGTGTATTTCATATGGAAACATTCCAGCAGGTGGCAGTCAAGGGTCTCGAAGGAGGGGGTTCCTTTTTCTAATTTATACAAACACGCCGTGTGAACTAGCATGCGTGCGGCAAGGCGTTCCTTCTGGAAATGTCAGCAAGCATTCCTTGTCACGGGCTGGCCATGTGTCCCCCACACAGCCCACGGGTGAAAGACAAGAAACGCCTGTGCGTACAGCTGGGAGCTCCCCCGACTGCAGACGGGGCTGGTGCCTGGCAGCTCCAGGCCCACCAGGACGCTGCTCCCCAGGTGAGATTCCTATCCTGACCTCTTGCCTCACAAGCTCCCCTCCTTGATTCCCAGGGACGAATCTTCGGGGCCTGGAGACTGAAGCCACCTATGATGCAGCCACCCAAGAGTTTGTGGTGCATAGCCCCACGTTGACGGCCACCAAATGGTGGCCTGGGGACCGTGAGTATCCGTCCGTCCCCCCAGCCCTATCTGTCCCCAAGGAGATCAAAGTTGGACAGCAGAACAGCACCAGCTCTGAGGTCCACCAGACCGCAGACTGATTCCCTGTTCTAGGCTGGTGACCTTGAGCAAATCAGTGCAGGTTCTTGAACTTCAGGGTCTCACTCTGTCAACAGCGGGGGATGGGAAGAATTTCATCCGTGAGTGGCTGAGAGGCCCCAACTTTGGAGTAGCTGAGGAAATCACCCAACCTGTGGGGGATGAGGGCCAAGGCCTCGCTCACAGGCACCCTGCCCCCACACAGATACACACGTGCACACACACATCACATACGCACAGCCTAGTCCCAGGCACTCTCACCTCCCAAGTTAGTGATTAAGCTTGCCAATCCATCACCCAGTTCACAGATCACCGCCCCTGCTCCAGACACCCAGAAAGGCTCAGCCTCGGTCTGGCCACCCGGCGCCACATTGCCTTCTGTGGCCACCAGGTGGCGACCGCACCGTGCTTCCCCCAGGCTCCGTCTTTGCCCAAGAGGGGGTCATGCCAAGGCCCTATTCCTGGGATGTGACAACATACATGTGAGGGCATGTCTGTGGCACTTGAGGACCCATTTGCTGAATGCTTCCACAGGGGGAGAAAATACAATGAATGTCAGGAGTACAACTAAGCAGAGAGAAACAGAGAGGCCAGGGACAAGCAGAGAGGGAAAAAGATTCAGACAAAAGTCAGAGAAATAAGGGATGGACAGGAGAGACAACGAGAGAGGAGAGGAAGGGAATGGATGACCGCAGTCAGAACTGCAGAGAAAAGAAACCAGCCTTGGCAATCAGACAGACTTGAAATCCCAGCTCTGCCCCCTCCGGACCGGTGACCTTGAGGGCCTCATTCGCCTCTCTGAGGCTCAGTTTCCTTATCTGGGAAATGGGGCTCATCGTACCCGCCCTACAAGAACTGGAAAGCACCAGCACAGGGTCCAGCACCACCTGGATTTAGATAAATGATAATTATCTGTATTCATTATTATTAAGTGGACGATAGAGTGATTCATTTATAGATTTTTGAGGACAGAAAAAAAAAAAAAAAACCCTGCTCATTTTACAGTGCCTTTTGCAAAACACTGCTAGATTTGTTTGGTTCTTTGGGAGCTGTTCCCCCTCTCTGGGATCAGTGACTCTTCGAGGCCCCTGGGTTGGGGGGCAGCAATGCACACCTTTCCCTGTGATCAGGGACTGGTTTTCTCACCATGGATCCTAACATACATACCCCAGCAGCTCTGACATAAAGATCCTGTCTCCCTGATTCCAAAGAAAATGACTCAAGGGCACATACTTCAGTCAGAAGACTTGCAGAAGAACCAAATTTTTAAAGATGCCAAGCTTTCCCAGATTGCTTAATTTAGGCTATTTTCATTAAAATCCATAACCTTTGTCGGCTTTGCCTTTGAAAGGGGGAGCATCTAGAGCGTGTGGAGGGCTTTGCACCCCTCCAGATCTCCAGCCGGCTCCTTGAGCCTCCCTACCCCCTGCCTGTGTGTTATAGGCTGGTTGCTCCACATATGTGACATTTAGACAGAAACCCCTGCACCTCCAGCCACCAAATAGCTGTCCATAAAGCTCTCCAACACAGACACTCATACTAAAGCTCTCAAGACTGTTCCAGTCATTTCCAAGGATGAGTCAAGGCCATGTGAGCCACGGGGTATCCTGAAAAAGCATCGCTTTGTTGCCCAGGATGTTACCTCTCCTCTGCCTGGCCCTCCCTGCCCTGGGTAACCCCCCTGGGAAATAGCTGTACCCTTCAGGCTCCTTGTGCATCCTCCCCTGACCCGACCATTTGAGGCAGATCAAACAATCCCCATCCTGGCTTCACAGGGTGCCCTGCCCTTCCCCGTGCCACCACACTGGTCCTCCTCACCCATTTCAGACTGGACCCACATGCAGGTTCCTGATAGGGAGAGTTAGCCTGCCTGCTCCATACACCAGGGTCTCCTACACCAGAGATCATGCTGGGCCTCTCCTCTCTCTGCCTTCAGTGGGACGGTCAGCCACCCACACCTTGGTCCAGGCCCAGCTGATCTGCTCAGGAGCCCGACAGGGCATGCACGCCTTCATTGTGCCCATCCGGAGCCTCCAGGACCACACCCCACTGCCAGGTAAGCCCACGTGGCTCCTAGGACCACTGCCAGGAAGAGAGCCCACCAGGCCTCCCTATCCTGAGGCCCCAAGGTAATGGGAGAAGCTGGGACATGTCTCCCTTGGGCAGGGAGGAGTCCAGTTGGGTAGACCTGGTGCTAACTGGCTGGGTGAACTTGAGCAAGATTCAGCACCTGTCTGACCTCAGCTGAAGAACAGGTGTAATAATCCCACGTGACAGGCTGCTGTGAGGCTTGGGGGAGCTAGAACGTGGGTGGGGGGTACCCGGCACACGAAAGCACTTGGCTCACAGACGTTCCCATCTCCATCTCCTTCTAGGAGTCACCGTTGGAGACATTGGGCCCAAGATGGGCTTTGACCACATAGACCACGGCTTCCTGCGACTGGACCACGTGCGGGTCCCTAGGGAGAACATGCTGAGTCGCTTTGCACAGGTGGGAGTCCTGGGAAGTCTTGCTAGCTGCAGACTGCTGCTGGCTCTGGGTCTTCCCCCAAAGAGCAGAGTTTGGGGCACCCCACCCCCACCCCAAAGAGCCTCTGGTATCCCACAGATCTGGGTAAAGCCCCAGTTTGGGAGCTGTGTGACCTTGGGCAAGTCACTTGATCTCTCTGAGCCTCAGAGTTCTCAGGGGTAAATGCTCAGAGCTTCGTGGGATGGTAGAGCAGTCATAGGGTAGGGGGGCAAAGCGATGTGAGAGAAGGGAAGGCCTGAGGGTGACATGCATATTCACCTACAGTGAGGCCTAGACAAGCAGTCACTGACCAGACACCAGCCAAGTGCTGGAGGAAGGTCTGGAGGTCCCCAGGCATTCCCTCTAGCTATGGATTTGGAGGAGGTCCTGGGTGTCCCCGGAGAGGAGCTGTGAACCCAGGCACTTGAGAAGTGACTGTTCAGCAGAAAGCACAGGTGTGTTAAGAGCCAGTGTGCTCTGGCGGGCGGTCAGCCACCTGCTCCCGGTGAGCGGTCTGAGGGCCGTGTGCCTGGAGGGGATGGAAGCCCACAGTCATGGGTGTAGGACAGGCTGGGGAGCCCTGGCTCAGGCCCGGCACACCCGTCTCTGGTCCACCAGGTCTTGCCAGACGGCACCTACGTCAAGCTCGGAACGTTGCAGACCAACTACTTTTCCATGGTGGTGCTGCGGGTGGATCTGCTCCTGGGCGAGATCATCCCCCTGCTGCAGAAGGCCTGTGTCATCGCCATCCGCTACTCAGTCATCCGCCGCCAATCCAGCATCCGGCCCAGGCAAGGGGCACCCGCCGGCTGACCACGACAGACAGGGCTCCCTCTCCATCCCACAGTGCCTGTCCCCTGATGCCACCCCTCTGCCCGAGTGGGCCCTGTCTATGGGGTCTCCGTCAGGCTCCCTCGAACCCTGGCTGGTCTACCGCCTGACCTGTGTCGGTCAGGGCCTGGGTTTCTGTGTGATCATGGGTCTTTGACCCTGTACCATCAGATCTGTCTGTCCGAGTCCAGCTGAGCTGTGACTGGCTGGGTGTGTCTGGGTCGTCAGCTGGTTGCCAAAAGGTGGGTGACTGTGGCTCTTGAGCTCGGTCAGGGCGTGAGCGATCGTGTCTGGGAAAGCCCAGCCGTCACACTGGACGGTGCACGGCTGAAGCTGGTTCTGTCCGGCTGTGGCTGTCAGCATCCCCATGTGGGGCATGTCCAAGTCTGGACCATTTTGTTCGCATGTGGCTGCATCCAGCGGATGCTCCCTCTGCTCCACGGGACTGAATAGCTGACTGTACTCTGTTGTTGTTTGAATATTTATTTAAGTAATCTTCACACCCAATGTGGGGCTTGGACTCATGACCCTGAGATCAAGTTCCGCATGCTCCTCCCACCGAGCCCGCCAGGCACCGCCGTACTCTCTGTTTTTTACTGTGTGTTATGTGCACCCACTCGTGTGCGTGCCTGTGTAAACACACGCGCGGTTTCCAGCAAATGAAAATACAGGCTACCAGTTAAATTTGAATTTTGGGTAAACAGCAAATAATATTTTAGGATAAATATGCCCCCAATGGAGACATGCAGCCAGGATGTCGCAGCGAGGAGCTGAGCATAAGGTGCTAGTGTGGGAAAAGAGGGTCGAGTCCTGACTGACTGAGGGATGGGCTTCAGCCCGGCAGTTCTTGTCCCAACTCTGCTTAAGTGACCCTGGGCAAGTCTTTTGCCCGCTCAGGGCCTCTGTTTCCTCCCCTGGAATGTGAAGAGAGAACTTCCAGTCTAAGAATCCGGTGATGCTTTATGCCGTGGGCTCAAGGATCCAGGAGTCTAATGCAAAATGGACTGAGGGTCAGATGCCGGACAGACCTGGGGGACACACAGCTGGGCCGCGTGCCAGCCGTGGGAGCTTAGGCAAGTCGCGCCACCTCTTTGTCCCTCAGTGTCCTCACCCGCAACACAGGCATGACAGGAGCACTCTTTCAGGGCAGTGTGGAGAGTGAAATGCAACGAAGCAAGCCAGGCCCAGAGCCCGGGGTCCCTTTCCTCTGGCAAACCCAGGGCACTGCGACTGGCCTGGGCTTCAGATTCCCCCTGCTGAGGGACTCTTCTCTGGAGGACAGGGGTGCTGGGGAAAAGGTGCTGCTGCTGAAGTCCCATCCAGAGCCCAGTTTTCTGGGTTCCACAAGTGTCCCAAGGATGGTTATGATAGTGTGTGTCTGAGGCACCTTGGTGTCTCAGTCTGTTAAGCATCCAACTCTTGGTCCCGGCTCAGGTCATGATCTCAGGGTCATGGGGTTGAGCCCCGTGTTGGGCTCTGCACTCAGCGGGGAGTCTGCTTGGGATTCTCTCTCCTCTCCCTCTGCCCCTCCCCCCACCAATAATAAATAAATGAGGAACTGCTGACCTAAGATTCTCCCCAACAGCCATGGGAGGCTTCTCACAGTCACGCTTTCTTTTAATCCACAAATTGTTACTCTGGTCCCCTTCGAGCTGGACACAGTCTCAGGCACTGCAGACATAGCAATGGACAAGGCCGTCCCTGCCTTGGGATTCCGTCAGACCCAAGTTCACATCCTCAGAATTACTGATTAGACTTGATGTACCCCCCAGCACATACTATGTGCACCTGGACAGTGAAAGGTCCGGTTTCAAATCATCAGGGGTACAAGACCACAAGCCCTCACTTGAAATCCTTGGGACCAAATGTGTTGGAATTCAGAACTTTCCAGATGTTGGTAGGATAATATGGTGCACAGGCTGTGATTTTGTAGACGTCCCCCGTAAGGGGCAGCACCTATCGGCAAACCTGTCAATATTTCTACAGAGAAATGTGTGGATATTCATGTTAGATGGAATTTTAAGATTATTACTAACCTCATGTCAGTTCAGGTCAAGTTTTGCAGTGAGTTATAAAAAACGATCAGTTTTTAAGTCTTTTTTTGGTCCTGGGGATATGGGAAGGTGGAGGGGGCAGGTAGCAATCTTCTAAACCTTCTGCTTTTCCTCCCCTCAGTGACCCAGAGGCAAAAATCCTGGACTACCAGACGCAGCAGCAGAAACTCTTCCCTCAGCTGGCCACAGCCTATGCATTCCATTTCCTGGCGAGCGGCCTCCTAGAGTTCTTACGTAGCTCCTACGATGCCATTCTCAACAAAGACTTCAGCCACCTGCCGGAGGTATCTGCTGTCTGGGGGGCGGTGGGGGGGGTGGCCGGAGCTGGGAAGGTGGCTGAGATTGTTCTGCCCACTGGGAAGCAGCCCCACTCCTGTTCCCATGGACTCCTTTTACTCCCTCCCCCAAGCCTTCCAATATCCCCGGGGCACCCAGGGCGAACTGTACCCCGACATATAAATCCACCTACATCTGGCCTCCAGAAAGCTCCAAAAATGCTAGAGGGAATAATCACACATTATACATAGAACACAGGAGCACAATCCCTGGTGTGTATGTGAAACCTAAAAAGCTCTGAAATATTACAGAAAAATTACAAATTACACATTTGGTGGCATGGTAGGACCTGAATTGATCTGATTTATCCCACTGGATGTGTATACATTTTGCAGCAGAAATACTAATGAGTTTGATCACTAAAGCTGCCCCAGACTTTTCTGGGTATTATATATAATCTGCCTTCAATGCCCTGCTTTAGCTTTCTAAAATTCAAAAAAATACTGATTCCGAAACACATCCAGCCACAAGGGCCTCAGATGAAGGATTATGCACTTAGATATACACTAAGGTTTCGTCCACCAGACCCTGTGCTTTATAAGTAAGCACTGCTTCATCAATCCCCAATTGTGCCACTGGCCTCATTTATATTCCCATTTTACAGATTAGGAAAGTGAAGCACAGAGAGATTAAGGAACATGACCTTCCTCCCAAGGACTCAAGAGTCTGAAAGATGGGTAAGGGCTTTCAAGAACCGAAAGCTCTAACCAGGTCTGCTGCCTGGCAGCCCCTCCTGCAGCCCAGGCCAGTGGGTTGATGGTGGACCTCCACGGTCACAGGCCAGCTCTCCAAAAACTCCACTTGCCAGCAAAGTCCGTAACTCCTAAATGATGGTGAGCCCAATCCAGGAAGCACCCTCTTCCCGAGATCCTGGAGACACTGGCCTGGTCAGTTTTCCTTTGTTTTTACTGCCCTGCAGCTACGTTGCCTCATCGTATGACCTTGGGCAGGTCACGTAACATCTCTGAGTCTCAGCCTTCTGGTTCGTAAAGTTGCAAGCCGAGGAGATCACTCTTACTCACAGGGTTGTCATGGGCATACAGCAGGTGCTCAATGAGCGGGAAGCATGGTTGCTCCTGGAGGGACTCCTTACTCATCCTGATGCCCTGTTCTTGCAGCTTCACGCACTGAGTGCAGGAATCAAGGCCATGACGTCAGACTTGTGCCTCCAGGGGACTGAGCTGTGCCGCCAAGCCTGTGGTGGCCACGGCTACTCGAAGCTGAGCGGCCTGCCCTCACTGGTCAGCAGAGTGACAGCCTCCTGCACCTATGAGGGTGACAACACCGTGCTCTACCTTCAGACAGCCAGGTAAGGCCCCTGCGTGGGCTGAAGCAGCGCCCGATGCCCACGGCCGGAACAGGCACCTGGCAACGCCACACGGAGACCAACCGACACGCACAGTCTGTCTCCAGTCCATCCGGAGCTTTTCGCGGGCGGGACAAGAGCACAGCTTTCCCTTGCTTCACATTCTTCAGGGGCTCCCCACAGCTCATGGGAAAACCACTGCACCTGCCCTGCGGGGTCCTTGCGGCTTGCCCCACCCCCCTCCCCGCCTCCCTTCCCATCGTGCTCTCCCTTCCCCTGGGGCTGGACACGGTTCCTCTTTCCCATCACTGGCTCCCGCTAGCTTCCCTCCCCTGAATGCTCTGTCCCAGCCTGCGGGGCCGGCTGTAGGCAGCTCCTCTCATCCCTCAGGTCCCCACTTAGATGCCCACCCTGACTGAACACACCATCTCCAGTTGCTCCAGCCCTCCCACTCAACCCAATCCGAGGGGCTCTTCTCCGTGAGCCGGAGTGTTGAGGGCCTTGCTCACCGCCTGTCCCTGGGCTCAGCACGGGGCCTGCACGCAGAGGTTCCCACCTGAGAGGCAGGCAGGCAGGCAGGCAGGCAGGCAGGCAGGCAGGCAGGGATGCAACTGCAGGCTTCTGTTCACTCTCTTCTGTGTGGGGGGGCTTGACTGGCAAGGCTTTTCACGTTCATAATAATATTATGGGAAGTCTTTTCAAATGATAAGGAGGATACAGTATCCTGTATTAGACACTCTGTACCCCACCATTATAGGAACATTACAGATATTTTCTTGGTTTTCACAAACCTTCTATCAGGTGACTATTATTATCCCCATCCAGAGATGGAGACACTGAGGCCAAGGGAGGTGAAATAACATGTACACGCGTCACAGAGGTCTCAGCAGAGCTGCCGGGGGAATCCAAGGATGGCTGAGCCCAGAGCCTATAACCACTGGGTCATCAGAGGAAGGAAGCAGAGAGTCACCTGTAACCCTCTACTCATGTTAGCATTCTTACACCTATCCTTCCTCAAGTACAAAAATTTAATTTCCGCCGTCACTGTACAATTCAGCACGAATCCCCAAATCCCAAGATCCTAACCAGAAGAAAAGATTGTTTGCTCAGATACCAAAAGGGTTTATGTTCAGGATCTGAGTGTCTATCAGGAGGGGCCAGGCAAGAGCCTGCATGGCCCTGGTTCTCCCGTAGGGAGTATAAGAGTGCATGTTCCTGGGCAACAGGGGTGCTGGGCGGTCCCACAGGGCTCCCCCCTGCTTACCTGCTTCTACCGCCCCCCCACCCCCGCCCAGGTTTCTGGTGAAAAACTACCTGCAAGCTCAAGCTCAGGCAACCCCAGGTTCCACACTGCAGAAGTCTCTCCCTCAGTCTATTGCATACCTGACCACAACTGACTTGGCCAGATGCCCAGCCCAGAAAGCAGCCGACTTCCTCCACCCAAAACTCTACACCACGGCCTGGGCACACGTAGCAACCAGGTGAGCAAGAAATTAGCCATTCCACCTGGGGGCAGGCTCTTTCCCACACTAGGGCCTTTGGGGCGGGCTGGGTGAGCATTTGTGGATACTCCTCTGAAAAGCACCCCCTTCCCCAACCTCAGTCCTCTCAGTTCCTGCCACCATGGGCAGAGAAGGGGAAGCCACATCCATGAGCCACCATCACTTCCCTCCCCATCCTGGTCGAGCTAGTAGAAGGACATCACCCCTCTTGCCAGTGCAAGGAAATTTTTCTTTTTTTTTTTAGTTTTTTTTTTTTTTTTAAATTTGAGAGAGAGCATGAGACCATGAGCAGGGGACGGGCAGAGAGAGAAGCAGACTTTTCGCTGAGCAGGGGCTTGCTCTCAGGACCCTGAGACCATGACCTGAGCCCAAGGCAGCTGCTCAACCAACTGAGCCACCCAGGTGCCCTGAACTTTTTCTATCTTTAGGTTCTTACTGTGATTTGCAATGCAATGAATGTGCCCCATTTGTAAATACCACAAATGTATCAGTATGTGAATAATGGTAAATAATAAAGTAAATACCAATACTGTATTTAAAATAGCCCACAAACTAAAAGTAATTTTCAAAAAAAACCAACTACATCAAGGGATAGGATTAGTTTATTGCCAGGGTCTATCTAGTGGACTCCAGGGAACACAAACAGGACCAGGGACTCAGGCATTCTGTCATTCAACAAATACTGTTGGGTACCTCCTATGCGTCAGAAATGTCCAAACATGCCAAGGGCTGGGAATAAAAAGAGGTCCTGGCCAAACACAAACACCATCACAGAATAGATAGAGAGATGGAAGTACCTAAGAAATAAACCTTCTGAACTTCTACCCAACTAAAACACCAAAACAACCCGGAAGAAATAATTTCAGCATATAAAAAGGTCTTATACCCCAACCTGTGGTCCAAGGGATGGTTAATAATTATTTTAAGATCACAGGCAACTTTGGGGGCGCCTGGGTGGCTCAGTCGTTAAGCGTCTGCCTTCGGCTCAGGTCATGATCCCAGGATCCTGGGATCGAGCCCCGCATCGGGCTCCCTGTGCCGCGGGAAGCCTGCTTCTCCCTCTCCCACTCCCCCTGCTTGTGTTCCCTCTCTCGCTGTCTATCTGTCAGGTAAATAAATAAAATCTTAAAAAAAAAAAGATCACAAGCAACTTTGGACATTCATGTATTTATTCCACAAATACTAAGTGCCCACAGTGTGCCAGGCACAATTCTAGGCACTGCAGATCTATCAATAAACCAGTTATAAAAAGCCCAGGCCTCAGAGAACGAACATTTGAGTTGGGGGAGGTGTCGAGAGCCCGATAAGGCTGCTCAGGGTAATTAAAATGCCATTATATTGGTTTTTGCTTGGAACTCAAGGTGACATCTGCTTATCTACTCCCTGATGCAAAAAAAATAAGTATTGCTTAATAAATAGTGTGTTTTGCAACAGAAATCCCAAGGGTCATGAGTGGATGGGCAGGGAACAGAAAATAAAAGAATAAAGGTTAAGTAAATAGCCAATGACCAATTTAGTGGTTTGGAGAACAAGAGTTATTTTTCTTTTCTTTTCTAGCCTTTTAAGGTCCCTTTGGTAGAACATGGAACTGGCCGGGGTGACTGACAGGCGTCACTAGCCTTTCCGGGAAAACCATTGTCCTTGCTCAGCTACAGAAGTCGGTCAACAGAATGGCCTGAAAACACTGACATCAGGATGGTGTCTGTATTAGAAAGGAGGGTCAGTGCCTGGCCTAGAGCCCTAAGGCTTTACAGCTCATAGGTTAAGATGGCTCCACCCCTCACTAGCTGTGTGACCCCCGCCCTGGACAGGTTAAGTGAGCCAGTCTGGGACTCAGTTTTCCCCATTGTAAATTGGTTAAAGCCTACCCTTAAAAGGGTTAAAGAGAGGGGCATCTGGGTGGCTCAGTTGTTAAGCATCTGCCTTCGGCTCAAGTCATGATCCCAGGGTCCTGGGATCAAGCCCCACATCAGGAAGCCTGCTTCTCCCTCTCCCACTCCCCCTGCTGTGTTCCTTCTCTCGCTGTGTCTCTCTCCCCGTCAAATAAGTAAATAAAATCTTAAAAAATAAAGGGGGGGATTAAAGAAATAATGTATAGTCAACATTTAGCTTTGCAATACAAAGCAAAGGTCAATGAATGGACATTACTGCATTTCTACTTCTGAGGGATCCCCAGGCAGCCTGAGACCAGGCTCCATCAGTCTGTTTCCCACTCAGTCAGGAAGTTGAACCTTTTTTTCTTTGGCCGTCAGGCTCATAAAGGACTCAGTGCATCACTTAGAGACTGTGATGCAATCCGGGGCTGACTGGGATGAGGCATGGAACCAGACCACTGTCATACACCTCCAGGCTGCTAAGGTGAGCTGCCCGTCAGCTGAAGCTCCAGCTGAAAGGGGCCCGTTTTGTTTCCCCAGCAGGCCACCATGCGGAGAAAATCTGAGCTCTGCCATTATTCCCCAGCCCTGCTCAGTGGCTGCCCTCATTTCACTTCCAAGGCTTTCGTCCAGGCTATTTTAATTAAAGGACTTAACTCCAAAGCAATCTTGCTGACAGCTCTTAGGGAAAAATGTAATGAGGCAGTGTTATTGGATTTGCTTCAGGTTGTTCAAATATTTCCTCCCACACCGAAAAGCAGGTCAAGTCTCCCCTTAGCCCCGCAGGCAATCCTTAGATGTCTGATTCAGTTTCTACTCTGTTTTGTGTTTGTGCGTAATTCACATTCAGTCAGCAAATATTTGAGCACCCGCTCGACACCAGGCATCGGGCTAGGGACTGGGGGCTCCATGGTGCCCGTACCCGTTGCAGTCAAGGCAGCACAGTGACGGAGACACAGGCTGCCCGGGATCCCAGAGAAGTGCAGCTCTACCCGGCATGAGGACCAGAAAGGCTTCCCAGAAAGGGCACAGAGGCCAAGACTTCAAGGATGAGCTGAAATTAGCCAGGTAAAGGGTAGAGGCTGTGGTTTGGGAAACGAAGGTTTCCTGGCAAAGGGAATAGCAGGTGGAAAAGGAAGAGGCAAGAAAAGGGGAGGTGCTTGAGGAAGTACAAATTTGGGTGCTAAAGGAGGAAGACTGAACTCAGGAGGGGTAAGCAGGTAGGGGAGGAGAAAAGATGGGCAAGGCCTGGGACCTTCTGCATCACTGTGAGCAGTTTGGTTTCGTTCTCCTTGCAGACTTTGTACCACGGGAGTGAGGTGATCAGAGTTTCATTGTCGAAGAATCATACAGGCTGCCTGGGGAGCAATGGACTGGAGGCTGGAGGCCAGTTAGGAGCAGGCAGCAGCAGTCTGGGCAAGGGCTGAGGATGGTCCTGACCATGAACTTGGCAGAGGGCATAGAGACAAGTGGGAGGATGCAGACATATTAAGGGCATAGAAGATAGCAAGAGCCTTCAGAGAGTAATGGGGTGGGGAAGAGGTTGACTCCTGAGCTCCAGCTTAGGCACCTGGGACTCTGGTCCTACCTACAGCTGCAAAACCAAGGTGAACACTTCGATCCTCAGGCATCAGGCCCAGGAATTGGCAGGAAAGCCTGAGGAGTGTTTTCTAGCAGCCCTCACGGGGCAGGCTGGGCGTGAGCGCCACCTGGTGACCCGCCCCCTCTACCACATCAGCTGGTGCTGGTCTTAACGCAGCCACCATCCACGGGGCTATCTACCACAGGAGCACGCCCTGCTGTGCTAAATGTCCTATCAACACAGAGGGGGGTAAGCCAAGGCTGTGTTCTCACCAGACTACCACAAAAGGAATCACAGCTGCCCATTATGCATCCATTTTCCAACCCTATGCTCTGCCTTCCAGTGGACCAGACACTGCATGCCAGGTTACCTCATTTAATACATACCACCCTGGGGGTGAGAGTAGCATAATCTCCATTTTAAGGATGAGGACATAGAACTCAAAGGAATTAAGTCCCAGAGGTAGAAAATAGTTAAGATGCTTTGCTTTCCTTTCCCCCACAGATGCAAGCTGTGTCCTCAGAGAGCCACTGTGTGTGAGGGAGGGAGGTGTTCCCCAAGTTCTCCGGGCACCAAGGGTGGGAAGCTCTGCCAGCCTAGAGGAGAAAAGCAAGTCCCTTCTCCTCTGGCCATTGTAAGCTGAAGAAGAGTGGCTTCCTGGGGAGATGGTGCCCTAGCTGACTCACCAAAGTCATAAGGGGCAGGGAGAGCTGCAATTTCTGAGCTTCATGCTTTGGAAAAACCATCTACTCTACAGAAACCTTAAGCACCCACCAAGTCCCATCTAGAAACCATAAATATGCAGGTAAAGAGTGACAGCAACACAGGGGAGTGGGGAACAGTGGCCTAAGTTCTGTTTCCAGCTCTGTGCATGACCTGCCTCTCTGAGTGACCTCAGGTGTCCTTCCTTCTCTGGGCTGTAACTTCCCGGTCTGTAAAATAAAGGGGCATGGAAAAGACCTTAAGGCTCTGATGGGCTCTGGTCCTATAATCTGAGACCCTGCTCAGGAGAGAGGTCCGTCCCCTAGGAACACGGGAGCAAATGCTGGTACCCATTCTAATACAGCCTCAGTCCAGGTCTGTCAACACCTCATTATGCCTCACGGGGGCAGCCTCAGCAGGCTGGTGCAGCTCCTGCAAGTACAGCTCTGTGCACATGCAATAACCCCTCCTTGCCCCCCTGAGGAAACTTCTTTGAACCCTCAAAACAGTCTAAGCCTTGCTACTTCAGGCATTACTAGGAAATCTGCATTTTCACAAGATGCCCAGCTGATCTGTATGCATGTAAACATTTGAGAAGAGTTTTATTTGCTGTCCTTCCCTCCCCCCCCCCCATGGAATTCATATACCTAACCTGATAACAATAAAACAATAATGCGCATTTATCTTGGGGAGAAGGGGAATATTCAGAATACTCAACAACCAGTAGGGCAGAGGCACAGGCCAATCAGAAAGGACTTCAGGCCTAACGGAAGCAGGAGCCTGAAAGCCTCCTGCTGGGTCAGGCATTCGTCCTTTATTTGCCGAGCTGTGGGGAGGAGGGGTTCCCAGGGAAGGATCCTGGCTGACAGAGATGGGGGTCTCACTCAGTTGAGGGCAGTGGTCACTTACCAAATGGTACCAAAAGTTTTATAATTTTTTTTAAAGTAAGCTCTACTCCCAACATGGGCCTTGAACTCATGACCTTGAGATCAAGAGTCATATGCTCCACTGAGCTGACCAGGTGCCCAAAAGTTTTATTTTAACTAGTGACAAAGCCAGACTGTTGGATATGGCTAAATAACAGCCCTGCTTACCTTGCAGAGTTTACTCTCTAGCTGGGATAAACTTTATGTCCATCGTGTACCTCTACTTTCTCACCCCAAGACACACACAAGCACACACACACACACCACTGCCTTAAAACATGGCAAACAATAAACAGCTGTTTTCTTAAGAAAAGTGGTGCAGTCCTCCACTGTCTCCAGGCCAGGCTCCAATACCCCTGTATTCTTTCTACTTACAAACCTCCTTGAAATTTCCCCCAAACAAAATGAGTAAGCCAAGGGCCAAGTCCCAGAGCCCACAAGCCCCCAGCAGGGGCACACATGCACGCACACACAAGCATCGAGACCCGCGGTGAGCTCGGAGCACAGGCAGCTGCTCGTCGGCCCACAGGGAAACACTTGGCCACAGCGAGCTTACTCCAGCAGTCTTGCCCAGCCTCCAGGATAACTTCTGAAGTCAGAAACCAGAAGCTGATGGATCTTCGTGTCTTTTAGGCACACTGCTTCTATATCAGTGTGAAGAGTTTTACAGAAACTCTGGAGAAACTAGAAAACCAACCGGCGGTTCAGCAGGTGCTCAAACGCCTCTGTGACCTCTATGCTCTACACGGCATCCTGACTAATGCCGGTGACTTTCTCCACGATGGCTTCCTGTCTGGGGCCCAAGTAGATGCGGTGAGAACTGCCTACCTGGACCTGCTCCGCCTCATCCGGTGAGTGGCTGCCCTCAAACCATGGTAATCTTCAGAGAATAGCCCCTAGACCCTTTGTTCACTTCCCACTCCAAAACCTGCGGCTCCAAAACCTTGCTAAATGGGGTCCGGCAAAAGCAGCAACCACCCTGGAGAGGTTGACACTGTAGCGTGATTCCATCCACATAAAGCATGATGGATTAATGAAAGAAAAAACAATTAGAAATAAAAATGCTTAAAAACAAATGATCTCAACTGAATACTCTTCAACATTGTAAATAGGAAGAGTATCTAAATGAAGCATCCTACCATATTCGTAAGATGTACTAATAATATCAATGAGTCTTAATCATAGCTAATATTTAAAGAACACTTATATGTGCCAGGCATTATGCCAAAAGCTTTCACATACATCATCTCATTTAATCCTTATAGTCTTTTGAAATGAATACTATTTTTTTTTTAAAGATTTTATTTATTTATTTGAGACAGAGAGAATGAGATACAGAGAGCATGAGAGGGAGGAGGGCCAGAGGGAGAAGCAGACTCCCCGCCGAGCAGGGAGCCCGATGCGGGACTCAATCCCGGGACTCCAGGATCATGACCTGAGCCGAAGGCAGTCGCTTCACCAACTGAGCCACCCAGGCGCCCGAAATGAATACTATTAATCTCCCCCATTTTACTGGGAAAGAAATTCAGGCTGAGGGGAGTAAGTAACTTGCCCAAAGTCTCACAATCAGCCAGGGGAGGAGCTGGGTGCAATCTGGGGCCTGTCTGACCCCTGAGCATATGCTCTTAAACTGTATTAAAGTTAAGGTGGGGGCGATTGTTTATTTCAAATATATCCTTCTCTTTGTTGAATGTGCTTAGGCAAACTCTTACTAAGTGGACTAAACTTATTTTAACTCTCCCTCAGCTTCAAGATTAATTTTTTTTTAAAACCCGGGAATTCATACACAGATTCATAAAGCAATAATACAAATAGTTCTTAAATGCAACATAATGCAGTGCAGTTAAGGGTCATGACATACTAATGCAATGCTTTCATTCTGTTACATCATATATAATCTAAATGATCACTTTAAAAACATCGAAATTGGGCGCCTGGGTGGCTCAGT